GAGCTAACTCTGAAGAATGACTCTTCAGACTTGTGGAAGACTTCAGAGTTCAAACTTCTAAGTTTGAAAAAGAAGACTTCATACTTCTTTTTCTAAATCTAAAAAAACGACTTCGGAGTTCAGACTTCTAAGTCTGAAAAAGAAGACTTCCGAGTTCAGACTCCAGAGTTCGGGTGAGTTAAGTATGAAAAAACAGAGTTCAAAGTTCGGGTGAACTAACTCTTTAGAATGACTCTTCAGACTTGTACTCTTGAAATAACTCTGAAGTATAACTTTGAAAAATGACTTCAGACTTGTACTCTTGAAATAACTCGGTAATAAAACTTTGAAGTAAATCTCTGAAGAATGGCTTCAGACTTGTACTCTTGAAATAACTCGGAAGTAAAACTTTGAAGTAAAACTCTGAAGAATGACTTCAGACTTGTACTATTGAAATAACTTTGAAGAATAACACTGAAAATGACTTTTCAGACTTGAATTTAGAAATGAAACTATATCAATAATTAGTTAAAATGAAGTTAATCCTAGAATAAAATTGAATTTAGAAATGAAATTATATCAGTTAATTGAATTTAAACTTAGAAGAGCGCCTGTGTCAAATCTGAAGACGAAGTCCGAAGACCTTGAGTTCAGAGTTATCCAAATACCCAATCTCTTTGAAAAAGACCCCATGGTAAAGTTTGCATCATACAGAGCAAGACCAACCAGAGCTCCTTTGGTTCTTAAGGACCAGAGCCCATGTGGGCTCACCAACCAATAGTAAGGCCAACCCAAAAGCAAGGCCAACCAGAGGCCCTCTGGTCAACCAGAGCCTCTAGTTCGTCTATTTAGAGCCCCTGAGTCAAAAAATGTTGAATACTTAAAGAATTTGAGTTCCAATTACAACCAGAGACCCTTTGGTTAAACATGAAGATCAACCAGAGCGCCTTTGGTTCCTTTATGATGGATTGAGATATTTTTCCAAGGTTCAAATAAACAACCAGAAGCAAAGCCATCCAGAAGCCAGACCAACTAGAGGGGCTTTAGCTTACAAGACTAAGTCTAAGTCTTAAAGACTTATCTTCAAAGTTTAGATAAGTTTATTACAAGACTTGTACTCTTGAAATTATTTTAAAGTAAAACTTTTCAGACTTCAGAGCTCTTTATAGGCAAGCCTGAAGCTCTGCATGCACTATGCAGAGGCTCTGCATGGTGCTCCGTCTAGAAAAGAAGACTACAGAGAACGGGTGAGCTATCAATGAAGAATGACTCTTCAGACTTGTACTCTGGAAATAACTCTGAAATAAAACTCTGAAGAATGACTCTTCAGACTGTACTTTTGAAATAACTCTGAAGTATAAAATTAATCCTATTAAATCAGAGTTCAGACTTCTAAGTCTGAAAATAAAGACTTCAGAGTTTAGACTTCACAACTTGTGTTAGCTAAGTCTGAAAAAGAAGACTTTAGAATTCAGGTGAGCTAACTCTGAAGAATGAATTGTCAGACTTGTACTCTTCAGAATTGTAGAAGACTTCAGAGTTCAGACTTCTAAGTCTGAAAAAGAAGATTTCAGACTTCTTTTTCTAAGTCTAAGAAAAAGACATGAGGGTTTAGTTTAGACTTCTAAGTCTGAAAAAGAAGACTTCAGAGTTCAGACTCCAGAGTTCGGGTGAGCTATGTCTGAAAAAGTATACTTCAGAGTTCGGGTGAGCTAACCCTGAATAATGACTTCAGACTTGTTCTCTTGAAATAACTTTAAAGTAAAACTTTTCAGTAATCGAATTTAGAATAAAATGAAGTTAACCCTAGAATAAAATTGAATTTAGAAATGAAACTATATCAGTAAATTGAATTTAAACTTAGAAGTAAAGACCATTTTTTTTCCAGGAATCAGTTACCACATGAACTAATTAACTCAAGAATAAAATTAATTGCATCCTAAATTAGTGGGATTGATTGAATAAGAGGACACATGTCAATCAAATGGGTATAATTGAATTGTTGATGTAAATTGTGTCTAGATACGTTCAAATGAGTCTAATTCAACCACTAATGTAAATTGTGTCTAGATATGTGTTTAGGCGGGAAACAAGAAAACCGACTCACCAGAAGATGACACGTGTCATCCAAGTTACTTATTTATTATAAGTATAGATATGCTATATTCCTCGTCATAATTGTTTGAGAAAGTGTTAATAGTCTATTGATGATTAGAAACTAGAACACATTAGAACTAAAATAAGTATTTTACATCATTTTGTTGGTTTCTTTCTATTTGTTGTTCATAGTCTATTGATGTTGATATAAAATCTACTTTTAGCAAATGTTTGTAGAAACAATTAAGGATTTCACATCCTAGTTTTGGTGCTGATCTTTTTTAGGTAACGCAAGATGGTTTGTTTTTGTTTTGACCACCTAGTTGTCATCTTTGGTATGAATTTGTTTCAACTAGATATGGACTTTGTTGGTGAATTTGCACAACAAAAGAAACGTAGAATTACTTGGAAAAAAGAGTGTGTAGTCCAAACATTTCTTGAAGTTTGTGTAGATGACATCATTCAAAATGGAAGAGAATGTAGTATTCTTAAGCCAAATGATCAAGAAGAGTGTTGGAGAAGACTTAAACATCAACATACTTTTATCGCTGACCAACGACAGATGAAATATGACTATGATTACCTCAAAGGAAAATATGCAGCATGGATGAAATTAAAAAACAAAATAGACAATGTTTATGATCCATCAGCGAACACTTTTAATCTATTTGAAGAAGAATGAAAGATGGAAATTAATGTCGCTTGAGGAGTATGGGACTGCTTTTACCTGAACTTCGTGTCCAACTATTTTGACGTGGTTGCACTACAGGAATTGAGTGTGTTGGATCACATTCCATTATTCATGATTCTTTTGACACTTTCTAATCTCAACTTGAATGAATTTGTTGAAGTTATGTATGACACACACGAAACTGAGGTCCTAACTTCAACGCAAGAGTGTTTTTCTCGTCCTCCAACCAACGCAAAAAACGTAAAGCTAAGCAAGCAAGTAAAAAAAGTTTCAAGTTTAAGAAGCTATTTTTAAGGTTAAGAATGTAGTGATGGAAAACATAAAACATGGAGGAGGATCACAACGTGACGATAATGTTGATACTTGCTTGAAGGAACATGGATGAGAGCACAACACCGATTGTATGACATAACGACATTTGTCTTGGCTGAAAATGCCAACTATAGGAAAATGTGGATGTGTTTAGAGCCGGAGAGCTATGAGGGTTGGATTAGACTTACGACTTGTAAGTATGGAGTACTACAGCTATTGAGTTTGGATTACACTTGGTATTTGGGAGGATTTGTCTTTGTCTTGGGGTTTGAACATATGTGTTTGTTACGATCGTTTGACATAATGTGTTTGTTTTCATGTTTGAACATATGTGATCGATATGATATGTGTTTGTTTTGGGAGAATTTGTTTCTTTTTCATCCAACAATAAATTATACGAAGTCTCTTAACTATATGGATCACTTAAGTATTCTGCACCAAATCATTCAACAACTATCAAACAACCCTCTAGGCGTTCAAAGGATTGAATGGTGGTCTTGGAAAAAGGGTCGTTGAATGATTTGTTGAGACCCTTACATGAACAATTGTTTGGAGCGTTTTGTGAGTGATTCAGAATGTTAGTCTTTTCTGTAGCCAAACAAGATCTCCCTTTGACCAAATAAGAGATTAGCTCTTATGGCATCATTAAGAGCCCCAAACAAACAACCGCTAAATCATGATCCACAAACTCCTCGAGGATGGAGAGGTAAATGCTGTAAAACAAATTGCAAAATTTTACGTGAAGCATTCAAATTCCCAAAACTTGTCTTCATGCAAAGGAATCTAGGACAAGTACTTCTCCATTCGTGGATTCCTCTTGTCCACCTTGTAAAATCTCGAGCTGTGCTCACTTGATCAGCTTGGCCTCACCCACCTTTCTAACACAGCTTTTCTTCCCATTCTCTCCCATGGCTTACACCTATTAATCCAGAACTTTACTTTGCAAGCCTTTATCTGTTTGAGTATACTCTCCTTGGTGTCCATATTCCTATTTACTTTTGTCCTGAAATAGGTGTCCATTTCCAAAAGTGAGTGGCATACTTTCCACTTCTATTCTTTATTTATGAGGTGGAGAAATTCATTTTTTTATTATTAACGGTAAAATTGTCATTTAGTTAATCAAAAACTGTCATAATTACACATTTCTAAAATTGTGGCTTTTTCATTGTGGATATTTATTTTGGAACGTAGGGAGTAACTAATTGAAATTGGATTCCCAAAGCTTCTTTCTTGATTTTACTTCATTCTTTTGTATCTTCACCAATTGCCTCTGCCACGCGGACTTCACAAGTCGGGTTTTTGGTTTCTGGACTTCTGAGTTCTAGAGTTCAGTGTTCACGTTTAGGGCTTGATGCAGTAACCCCAATGCTACTGGGCTGATTTTGGTTGCTAGTTTTACTTGTATTTCTAAGTTGTATTCGGATTTAATTGAACAATTTTAATACATAATTTAACGTTCAATTTAGCCTAAGTTGTGTACAGACCAGACTGCATTTTTATGGTATGGTTTGATCGGTTTGGTCACTTTATGCCAAACCGCACAGCGCACGTTGCGGAAATTTTTTAAACCGCCCGGACCATACTGCAAACACCCCTACTGAATCTATCAAGTAGAAGCATTCCATGCTTGCTTGACCAAGTGGGTTGAAATGTAAAAGTTAGGTTTCTTCAGCGATTTCATATTGCTTGATAGCATTTAGCTATAGCTCAAACCATAGGTTCTGCTTTTCTTTTATGAACACCATCATCATTCCTAAATCCCCAATTCATGCTTTCTGTAAGCAACTTTATTGTGACATAAAAAGATGGCCATAGGCTTCTTGTTCAAGTTGCTAAAACATCTCATCTCGTTCAAATAGCACTTTTACCCTGTTCACTTCGAATTATGTATCTTGATGGCGTATGCGTATATGCAATGCAGGTTTGTATATCCATTGATGGCTTAAACAGAGTTTCGGAATGTGGGTCATAATGATCATCATCAGTAGAAGCAGCAGCAGCAGCTTAAGATAGATGTATATTGCTGATGTTGTGTATCCATCTATCCATGGTTCAATCCACAAATCAGTGAGTTCATGTGTAAGGCAATCATTTTGTCAATTTGTCATCGAACTTTTTGTTTTTCGTAACAGTAAGGAAATTCTCCGGTAACCGTTTTTCTATTATTTGTTCTTGACATGAGTTTGCCCGATGCTAGTTTGACCCGACCCTAAAAGTGAGCTAAACAATTGACCAAAATACCCTTACAAACAAGATGTGGATTAGAATGGTAAGCATGCCCCTACAAGTAATTGACCAAAATACCCTGAAGTGAATAATATTGTCATCATCTTTATTAGTTAATTTGAAAAGAAGGCATTCTAGAGGTCCATCATTATGACATTCTTTTAACTATTCTTTGAGAGGCATGAGATTCTGTAGCTTTTAGTTTATTAGTAGTTTTGGCCTATTTTGTTTACCTGTGGTTTACATCAATCTTCAGGGGTTCTTAAACTTCAATAACTACAATTATCATCCATGTGGTTTACATCAATCTTTGAAAGTGGTTTCTAAACTTTAATAACTACAATTATCGTCCCTACGGTTTACATTTTGCTTGGAAAGTGGATTCTGGTCACTGACTCCATTAAATTACTTCGTCAAGTGTATGTCTTTTTACCTTTTTTTTTCTTTAATTTTTTTTATTTATATATAACCACACATATACACTACATATATAATCACACATACACATAATATATATTTACATTTACATTTATATTTACATTTGTATTTATATTTATATTTATATTTATATCTATATCTATAATTTATTTTTAAAAAAGTAGTTATAACCACCTTTTTAACCATATCTGTAGGATCATCTCAATTTAAAAGTTTGGGTAAGTTTTTCGAGGTTTTTTTTTTTCCAAGGTTCCCTCATGATCACATCTTTATATTTAGAGAAAAAAACAAAGGAGAGTCTTGAAAAATAAAGAATAGGAGAACCACAAAAAAACCATTTTCTAAAATATGGGATCAGATTAGGAGAGAGCATTGAAAAAGAGCCCGAGGAACCGGACCAAACCGTTAGATTGAGATGATCCCATAAATATGGTTAAAAATGTGGTTATAATCACTTTCAAAAAAAATATATAAAATAGCACACACCTTTTTTTAAATTGAAAAATGACGAAATATAATAAAAATTTGAACGAAATAAATTACACAAAAAAATAAGATCATTTTTTTTCATCTATTTTTATCGTTTTTCTGTTTATTTTTTTTCAAGAGTTTCCCTTGATCTTTACCCCTAAATATGAGGATGAGATTGAGAGAGAACCTCAAAAAGAAAAAAGAATCGAAGAACTCATCCAAACCTTTAGATTGAAATGATCATACGGATATGGTTAGAAAGTTGGTTATAACCATTTCTTTTAGAAATAAAATGTAAATATAAGTATAAGTATAAATATAAATGTAAATGTAACTATAAATGTGAATCGTAAATGTAAATATAAACATAAATATAGATATATATTATGTGTATGTGGGGGCTTAATCTTTTGAGAACTCATTTTTTTTATGAGATATGTGAGATCCATTCTAAACCTCATATTTTAATTATGGGAAAAGTCTAAAAAAACCCAATGGAAATTAGTGTTTGGAATAATTAAGTCTTTGGACAATTTTTTAGAACAAATAAATTATTGGACATTTCAAAACCTGTTAAATAACTTCTTTAACTTTCTAAACTTGTTAAATATATTCTTATAAACTATTGTAACATCGCGGTTACACTAAGTTTGAAAACTATTTACCTAAAACATTTTCCGTAATATAATCTCTAAAACAGATACGAGATATAAGTTATAGATTTTCACCAAAAAAGTTTAACGAAACTTACAACCAACGATTTCAATACCAAAAGTCGGGACAAAATATATAACTAACCGAATCTAATAACTACATAAATACAACACATGAAGAAATATATATATATAACAAGTACCAAAATGACTTTCGGGATCTTGAATCCTTCTAACAGATCTACACCGCCTTATCTTTACCCTTGTATGTTATCGTCCTTCCTGGAAAAAAAAATGTTTATTCTAATGGGATCAGCGACAAGGCTTAGTGAGATTATACCGAAGCGTATAAATATGATGTAAAAAACAAATATTAACCGAAACAAAACAGAAAGAATCGTTTAACTACAAGTCAAACAGTCAACATACCATGCCATATGATTCGCAAAAGTGGTATCAATTAAAGCACAACAAACATATCAAAACAGAAGCATCACTGCCAAGAATAGAGTATACATGTACACCACACCCCCTCTTCGTCTACAGGGCCCGTGCAAAGTACTTACACCTGACTCCTTACCAATCGGGATACGTGAATACGACAACCGATATGCCACACTCAACCTCCCTCTCCTTGGGATACGTGGACATACACCATGCTACAACATATCACTCGAAGTAATACCCGTAGATCATGATTTACCAAGAGGCCAAAGAAACAGTCTCGGTTCGGGACTCGACCGACAACACTAAATGAACAATAAATATCAATACGAGGCCAGGGGAATCACCATACTCAATAACGCATGCAAAATCAATTAATTTACAGTAAGAAAGCATATACATATACTATATATAAGTATAAGTTCGATATAAACTCACAGTCCTTCAATGTAAACAACCGAACACGGTAACATCCAATTCCAACCTAGAATAGAATTAGACCTTCAGAGGCTCTATATAGCCTTAATATAAATCCCATGGAGTAAACATTTCAAGTATCATTAACAAACTATATACCAATCTCAAGTTATACACTTTTATACCTTGACTATCCTACTTTCAATTCCCCTATATAGCCCTCTGTTCATCCCATGTTTTACCACACTTAGACTCAAAATTAGCCAATGATTTATAAATACTAAATAAAGTATTCTCTTATATCTTTCTAATGCAACTAACCTCACATTTTTATATTTTTTTTTGTGATTTATTATGTATTTACAACACAACAGCTCAAAGCTGTCAAAATTCAGCTTTACAACACAGTACATGTTTCAGTTTTTACCCATCTTAACTTCAATTTTCACATTTTTCATGTCTAAATATGAATTGTAGTTCATTATATTATCTTTCCATGGACATTGATCTCATATTCATACGATTTTTCTTCAATTTTCTACGAATTTTCAAAATCAGAGTTGTAACCATACTCTTTCAATACCAATTCACCCATATAATCCATTATAATGTCCAATTCTCTTGTATTTCAATACCATTTTCTGGTTTTCATCTCATATATTACTTATTCTTGACAAAACTTCAGAAATTCTATCATTATTTAGCATATAAACATGATTTCCCACATTAATCATCATTAACATCACTAATAATGCTTAATCTCATGACTTCCATATTAATGCATGCAATTATTCTAAGTTTCTTTCATGATTAAACTATAATTATCATCAAAAAAACCTTAATCTATCATCATCTTTTTATAATCTTTCAAATGCAAACCCTAACCTTCTTGATTATCACTAACTACATGGAATAAACTTGAAATTAGAAACATATCTTTGATAATTATCACATATTCTTCAAGAATCTAACATTAATCATCAAGAATTGAAAGATTTAAGCCCAAGTGTGTGAAAATCGCACATTTAGTAGGTGTAGAAGTTTCTTCAGCTGAAAATGGTAATAAAAAAAAACCCCTTAAATCCCGTCTTTTTTCACTACCACCCGATTTGAGCCGGGTTTGACCCGGTTGGGGGCCCGTTTGACCATCAAACGCTAAAAAAATCATAACTTTTTGTTCGAACCTCCGTTTTCGAGGAGATTTTCGCCTACACGTTCGTAGTACGATAATCTATAACTTCCAACAAAAATATTTTAGAAAAGATCAAAAAAATCCGTTTTACATATCCATAACTTAGATGTTGACGTTTATGGCCCCTTTTTCTTCTCTTAGCTCCGCTTGACATGAAACTTTTCAGATCCTCTCATATTCTTCTAAGAACTATAACTCTAAAATTTCAAGCCCAAACTCCCATTACAACCCTCTTGTTTGAGTATAGTTGCAAATTTACCGAATTAGCAATGTATTTTCATAAAACTCAAACGGTTCAATTTTTTTTTTATCGACTTTCATCATTTCTAACACTTCATAATAACCATCTTAGGAGTGTTCAAAGCTTAACACATAATTCTTTTTTAAACATTATATTTAAGAGAGTTTAGAAAGTTGGATGTTACACCTATACAACTGGTTAATGTGGTGAAATAATGAAAAAAGTTTGAAAAAAGTCAATAGACTTTTATATTTTGAAAGATTAAGTTTTTAAACATTTTTTGAATCAAAAAAGTAATTACATCTATAAACTGAAACAAATATACCAAAAAAGTACTTACATAAAAAAAAGGATTACTGATAAAATTTATTTTAATTAAAAATAAAATATATTCCGCATATGATTTTTCAAATTAAATTTTTTTTTAATATGATTACTGATGAAATTTATTTTAATTAACAATAACATATATTCTGTTGGTGATTTTTTAAATTAAAAAAATAGAAAATAATTTTATTAAATTACTGACGAATTTTAATTAATTATGCATTTAGTTAATTTTTTATAGTTAATCCGTTAGTAATTTAATTAAATTATTTTCTATTTTTTTATTTGAAAAATCACCAACGGAATATATTTTATTTTTAATTAAAATAAATTTCAT